CCGCCAGGCTGTCTTTTGTAACCGCCTGCTAGTCATCAATAAGGACTTTGCCCCTGGGTTGTTCTCACCCCTCCAAAATCAACTTCCAGATCTCCTCACGAGCATTATGGCAGCTGGCGTTTGCGCGCTGTCTTGCCACGCTGCTGCCAAACCTGCGGGGGCCTATAGAGATCACAGATCCAGCGTTGACCAGCTTTGACCGCCGGGTCCTCGCCGCCTGTGGCTGCCTCGTCGCGCCTGCCGGCGACTGCAGCCCGTGGGACCCGGCCGCTGGCGGCGCGAGCGGCGATGCGGGCCAGGGGACTTTCATATATGCCCCATACTGCCCGCATGCTGTCAACGGGGAGCTAGTTGAGGCCAACCTTGGACGACTGCAACAGATAGCTTACCTTGGGACCTGCTTTGAATATTACGAGGCTCTTGATGATTTGGAGACGACGGCGCGGCGGCGGCGGCAGCAGGGCAGCGCTGCGGATCAGGAGGGTTTGTCGAACGGCAGCGGCGGCAGTGGCAGCAGCGAGGGCGAGAGCGACGGCGGTGGCAGCAGCGGCGGCGGCGAGAGCGGCGGCGGCGGGGACGGCGAGGGCGAGAGCGTCAGCGGTGGCAGCAGCGGCGGTGGCGAGAGCAGCAGCGGCGGGGACGGCGGGGACGCCACCTCAAACCAGGCAGCAGCGGCGGCCGGCAGGCCGGACGATGTGACGAGTTGCGGTGCAGGGTGCGGCCTTGGCAGCGGCGGCGAGCTACTGGAAGGAACGGGCCTGCTGGCAGACCTGCGGCGGCACGGGCGGGTCTTGGAGCTGGCAGTCCCCAGGTTTGGCCTTATACATGGTGTCACGCTGCGGCTGCATGTTTTCCCGCGGCGAGAGTCGCTGTAAATCAGTCATCAGTCAACTGCTGTGGGCTCGTGCAGCGAGCCATCTGCGTGGTTGGCATGATCGGCCAAAACATCAGCCCCATGCTAGCAGTCGTGCTGGCCAGACTAACCTATGGCAGGCGCCTGTGTAAACAACTTTAGCATGCAGCTGCACTGCACTGCATGTGTTGCAATGCATGCAGACCACAGCATGCGCAGCGGCGCTCAAAACAAGTCCTTTGAACTTTTGATTGCGACGCTTCATCCCTTGTACATGTCTTACATCAACGATAACGAGGTCCCGAGATAATTTATCATCCAGCCATCTCTTTCTCGTTCATTGCAGCGCGCGCCCCCGATCTGAGTCGTGTCTTTGGGGCCGGCTGAAGGGTGCAACTGTATCGCACTGTTGTGGTGAATTGTCACCTTTCATGATGATACCAGACTGGGATCAGGTGCGTGCATCGGTTCAGGGCCGTGCCCGCCACGTCGCTGCAGCAGCGCCCCAGAGCTCTATTATACGAGTTACGCAAAAGCTGTAATATGCACACAGCACTAATTTGATGGCCCAACTCCTTCCCACCTCTATCCCTGGGCTGGATGGACAGGCCACGACAGACACCAGGCCCGCTGTGCCTCGTGACCAGCTGGGATCGTGTCCAACAGCCCCACCTTCTCATATGAGCGGCAGCGCCAAGATCGGCGCAAGTTCCCAGGGGGGCGCCACCAGGGCGATGACAGCCGGCGGTACCATGGCCAGCGGCCTCAATGATGCATCCTTCGCTCAGCGCGAGGCGGCGGCCTCTAGACCACGGGGACGCGGGCGCTCACGTGGGCGGGGCCAGGACTGGCGAGGGGGCCCCGGGTATGCGGCCGAGGACAGCGTTGACTCCGAGGCCCTCGACGCGCCCGCCAGCGCGGCCCTGCGCATTCGGAACGGCAGCGGCAGTGAGGCCAGCTACTCGGATCCAGCGGCCCCGCAGCTCCCGACTCATGCGGCCGCCAGCGGCCAAACGATGCCCGCGGCCTCAGTTGGTGGCGGCGGCGGCGGAGGCAGCAGCGGCACGCCCAACAGCGTGGGGGCTGCCGGTGCGTCCTCGCATGCGCTAGAGCCCCTGCCGCAGCGTGCCCAGCAGCAGCCGCATGGGCGGAGGCAGACTGCAGCTGCGAGGCCGCTGCGCGGCATCAATGCTGCGCAGGCGAGGTGTGCGGACGGCAATGTAGCGGGGCCGTCGGAGTTGCCGATTGAGGAGCAGGAGCAGCAGCAGCAGCAGCAGCAGCAGCAGCAGCACGATGCGCTTGAGCAGGAGCACACAGACGTGCACGCGCATCCTGCAACACGTGCCGACGCCCCCGCAGCTGCCAATAGTGCTGCCGCCGCCACTGCCGCCCGTGCCGCCTCCGCGTACCCGGCGCGCGCGACGCTGCGCGCCGGCGCCGGCGACCGTCTGAGCGCCCTCAAGAGCAGCATCCAGCAGCACCTCAAGCCTGCGGGCCCCGCCCCGCCGCGCCGTGCGCCTCAGGAGCCTCAAAGTGATGACAGCGGCCGCGGCGCCGGCGGCGGTGGGGCCTGCAAAGCAGTCAGCAACCGCTCAGGCGCTGCGGACAGCCAGACGCCCGACATGCGCAGTGATGCGCAGGGCAGCAACGGCCCCATATTCTTTGGTTCTGTGATGAACGGTGGCTCGCCAGACTGCTGCGTGGGGGCCAGCGACGGCGAGGGCGACGACAGCGGCCCGGAGGCGCTGCCAGACTGGGACGCGGCGCGCCGCCTGCTCGAGCGCCTCGCAGAGACGCTGCCCGAGCTGCAGCGCGCGGAGGAGGCGCGCGCGCGCCGCCTGGAGGCGCGCCTCGCCGCGGCTGAGGCAGAGGCCGCGGCGCAGCGCCGCACGGCGAGCACCGCCGCGGAGTCAGCGGAGCGTGAGCGGCGCCGCGCGGACGCGGAGGCCGCGCGCGCTTACGGCGCCGAGGCCCGCGCGGCGGGTGAGGCGGCCGCGAGGCGGCGCGCGGAGGAGGGGGCCGAGGCCGAGGCGGGGGCGCTGCTCGCTGAGCTGGCGCGGGCGCGGGAGGATGCGGCTGCTGCGGCGGCGGGCGCCGCTGCGCGGTTCGGGCAGCTGGAGGCGCGGGCGGCAGAGGCTGACAAGCTCAGGGCACAGCTTGACCTGGTGAGGCTGCACGCAGGTGCGGGCCCTGGCACGCTGCTGCCGCCAGCACCTGCGCCTGCGCAGCAGAATGCGCTCTCTTACGCTGCAGCGCCGCCTCCGCCCTGCGGCGGCGGCGCGCCCGGCGGCCCCCAGCCGCCGCGCACAGTGGCGGAAACAGGCGCGTCCCAGCGCGGCGCGCCGCCGCCGGGGTTTGGCGGTGACAGCCAGCAGCTCGGCGGGGACGCGGCCGTCGGGGCCACGCGCGTGCCGTTCACTTTTGGCAGTTTTGATGCGGACAGCCCGCCCCCGCCAGACGCCCGCGCTGCGCCGCCGCGCCGCGCCGCGAGCGGCGGCACCCTCAGCGCGTCCGACTCAGTCGTCCCCGGCCCCCACGGCGCCCCCCTCGGCGACAACGGCGGCGGGGGCGGCCGGCCGCTCCCCGGCGGCGCGCAG